GGAACACAGCTGGGTTTTGATTAGCCTCCTGGACCTGTTTTAAAAGTTTGTTATAGTTAGTATGCTTGTCCTGCTCTGGCACAGATATAGGCCCAGAGTCATTATAAACGTCCTTAAAATGTAAATCATAACAATTAGTAATAAATTTAAATTGCCTGATATAATTCTGTGGGTCAACAGAGAGGCTACCTAATTTAAGGGTAATCTGAGATAGATCAGAAAGGGAAAAAGGCACATGGATGTTAACAAGCTCCTTGGGGCCAGCTGGCTCCCGAAGCGGTAGCAGAGCCTGAGGAGATTCCGGAGCAGAGGGCCACTGAGCAGCCATCCTTCCGGTAGGCGCATGTGAGCAATCATCTGTAGAGCAGCTACAGAGCTGCTGCCGGTCACCCTGGGAAACATGAGCAGATGGCGTCTCACTGTGTGCCTTGCAGCTAGAGGACTGCTGTCGGCAGCACAATGAAGCGTCATGTGCACTGCAACAGGGCAGCTGTTGTGGCTCACAAGAGGAGCCACAAGGAGACGCCTGTTGACAGTGAGGGCCCTGGAAACATGGCGGCGCCCTGTCGCCATGTGGCCCTCTGGAACATGGCGGCGCCATGCCACGTGGCAGAGGGTTGCAACATGGCGACTGTTCCCCGCGCAAGCTGGAACAATCACGCGACCTGCTGGAAGGACATAGCGACCAAGACCTAGTATGGTGGGCAGGCGGTGAGAATGCTGTAGGGGATACAGAATTCTCAGGAGAGGAAGTCGGAGACTGTGAGGAAGCGCTAACAGAGGGATTAAAGCTGCTGGGAGAGTTATGGGTCCCGGAAGGCAGAGAGGGAGACGATCGCACGGCGGGAGGTATCTGCAACGGAGAGGGATTAGAGCTGCTGGGAGAATCAGGCATAGAGGGAGGGGAGAGTGGCCCGGTGGGAGGTAACGGCAGGGAACGAGTTTGGTGGTAGGCAGGCGGCGGCCGGGAAAACACCGGAGGAACGTCCTCAAGCGAATCCTGAGGGCAGGGTGGAAAAGTTTGCGGCGCGGTAGAGTTAGCTAAAAGTATCTCAGCGGGAGCACAAGACTTAATGAGAGATGGGCGTGTTCTCAGAATAAGAAAGGCTTGGACATAAGGGAGTTCCAATAACTTGTTGCCAGCTTGACAAAAATCATACAAGTTCCTGAGAATGCAGGGGTCAAATGTTCCTTGCCGAGGCCAAGGCTTGCCGATAAGCGGGTAGGTTGGCCAGACCTCCTGGCAGTAAAAAGTTAGTTGTTTAGTTTTTATGGTACCTTTAATTTTTAGAGTACGTAAATTGGAAATTAGGCATTTTAAAGGCGTCTTTTGGGAGTTAGAAAATACGTTCCCCATGACTGATTCAGGCAAGAAAAAAAAACCGGAGGTCCAGAAAAAAGTCGTCACTTAATTGTGGTACCACGTGGCGGCTACGGTTCCAAACCGTAAACTCCAGTCGTCACTGAGAGATTTACGAATGGAGTCTACGTGGGGTCAGTAACAGTTTTGCCCGTGAAAGCGCAAGGCTTTAAGGGAAGTGAGGCATTCTTTCAGTGTGGGCGGTCCCAAAAATCTCTGCTTTGGGCTATCCAAACCCAAAGAACGTGAGAGATTTTGTGGGCGCAGGTTTGCCCAGAAAGAACCCTGCCCTGGGCGGTCCTAAGGACGTGAAAATGCACAGACCCACACAGACGGGGAGAACATTCCACTGGGGCTGCCCAGTGCGAAAAGTTCCCCGGGGAGTGCTCACCTGAAATCAGTCTGGCCGATGCGGAGTGCAGGCGGCTGGCGACAGGAACGTCTCGGGAGAGGAAAAAGCTCGGGATTAATCCAGGATGTTATCTGGCTATCGGCTAGAAGACTTTGGGTATGTGGCCCAACAGTCAGTTGCCTGCCGATAGAGTCACGGCAACAAATGATAGAGTTATTTCCAAAAGATGAAAAATATTAACAAAAGATGAGAAATATAAAATAAAAAGCGGCCTTTATTCTGAGAACACGGAGAGAGATGACCGGCAACCCCACCGCTGGCGTCCGGCAATCTCTCCGGCGGACACGTGGCGTGGGGGCCTGTAAATAGCCTCGGTTTGGGGTGGAACCTAAGGCGGGCATTAGGGATACACAGGTAGCCCATTGGTCCTAGGTATGGCGCCATATGTAAATTCCCAGGGGCGGGAAGATGGCGTCACAGGTAACTTCCTAGGGGCAGGGCAAGATGGGGCTTCCTGCTTCCGGTTGTGGCTTTCCTGGCTACAGTGTCCTGTCTGGGCCAAACCTTTCACAATACAAGTCTAACAGGCTAAGTGCCAAAGAGCAAATAATATTACTGAAATATATAGAAATGAAAAATCCTTTTGGGACTTTTAGAAGATTTCTTCAAGGATACTGAACAAAACTATGAACACAAAAGCAGAACTCAAGGGCCAGGGATCTAGCTCGGCGGTTCGAGCACTTGCTTGGTTAAGTGCAAAGTCATGAGCAGAACTCAAAACTGTAAAAGAAAGATTCCTTTATCGGCAGCTATTATTTAAATATGTGGGTTGATTTTATCCTTCGTAGCTGCTGGATGATATTCCACAGCACAGATAAACCACAATTTATTTAACCATGCTACCAATGGACATTTAGGTCTGTAGCACTTAGTTTTAAATTTGGATCCAAGTTACAGAAAATCCAAATATGAGTGTTATAAACACAAGATGCTGTATTTTTCTCTTGCATGGAGAAGCCAGAATTTTAGAAAGTTAAGTGTCAATATGAACTGCATGGTCTTCAAGGACCAAGTTTAATTTTTCAATTCTACCATCGTACCACATAGCTTCTATTTCAAATGGTGCCTTAGCACATACTGTTATAGACAAGTAGAAGAATAAAACAGCCTGTATCCCAGCTTAGGCACCTCTCTTCATGCAGTCTTCTAGAAGTTTCATACAGTACTTTCAGCCTTATCTCAGTGATCAGAACTTAATTACATGACCATGCCTCACTGCAAGGAAAGCTGAAAACTATGCCTTTTACAGGAGTTGCTATCCCAAATAAAATTAAGATTTTTAGAAAGGACAAAGGACAATGGGCATAAACAAGCACTGAGAATGTAACTGCCAATTATAAGCATACACATCATCTCGATGGTCAGAGGAAATAAAAATCTTTACACAGTGACTCTGAAATAAACAAAAAGCAGCACCCCATCTAGCTCTAGTTCCTAAAAGAGCATCCTGATCTCAACTCCCTAACTTTATCTCTGAACTTTGCAATACTATAATAATCATACCTGCTTTTCTACCATAAACAGCCTGTGACCTAATAGCCTTTTTAATTATCATTTTTTATCCTTTTAATTCCAAAGCCAGTCTTTCTGATTATGAATTTCCTTGCAGAACTGTGCATTTTAACTATTTTTTTTTTGCCTTCGTGCTTGTGTGCCTGTCTTTCTTTCACAGTTACAACCACAAGATGATGTCTAGTTTTTCACCATTATAAATTATGTTGCAGTAAACAACTTGTAAATGCCTAAATGTGCACATGGTGACAATTTCCCAAACAGATATCCAAAATAAGACTTGCTAGGACAAATGATGTGCACATTTTTAATATATTCTGTCAAATCACAGTTCAAAGAGTTGTGCCAATTTATACTCCCCATCATTGTACATATGAGTCTCTGATTTCCAACAAACTACTAACACCTGAGATGATCACTTATTTTTGTCAATTGAATGGGTAAAAATAAAATGCCTAACTTTTTCAATTCCATTTCTCTAGTTACTATCTGGTTTGAAAGTGTTTATTGGCCATCTGTTATTAATTATTCTTTGAAACAATACTACTTACAGCTGTTCATCTGCCATGTCTTCTGATTTATAGAAATTCTTTATATATTCTGGATTTTAATCTTTTAATATACATATTGTATTACCCTTGCCTTCCAATCTATTCCTTTTTACTTTGCTTATGGTATCATTTGTTTTACAAAGCATTAAACTTCGATATAGTTATTTTATCAGCCACATCTATTACAATTTTTTGTATTTTCTTTTCCCCTCCAACATTATAAGCATATTGTCTCCTTATATCTTGAGGTTTGTTATATTTAACTATGTGGAGTTTTCATCACACATGGTATGAGATAAGGCTTTCTCTTATTTTGCTAAAAGGATAGCCAACTATTCCAACACTACATATTGAGTAATTTTTAGTTCCCTACTCTGAAATGTTGCCTTCATTATATTAAATTATTACAGAATTATGAGCTGTTTCTGGACTTTTCTATTTTATAGACTTATCCATTTCTAAACAATGCTACAAAGTTTTAATACTCAAAATTCTATACTATTTCTGAGGCAAAAAGTCTTCCTACTTCAGCTTTAAAAAACAAAGTTGACTAGTCTCATAAATTTTCTTCTCCACATCAATTTTCAAATCAACTTACTGCATTCCCTTCAAAAATGCCAAGACGCGAGGTGTGTGGACTGCAACTGGCTCAAATTCTAAAAATCAGAGATTCCTTATTCAAGACCATTTGCACATTTGTTAGCATGTACTTTGGACATAAAAGATTACGAGGGAAATTCAAAGGATTTTAGTAGGTGGAAGGCAGCTAGGATTTCAAACCAGATTTCTCCTCTACAGCCACCAGTTAGTTATCTCTTGCTCCTTCCCGTTTTTCAATTGCTGCTATTTTCTCAAATACAAAAGTCATCTGTGACATAAGCTCAGAGGATGAATAAACGTGTAACAGCCAGCTTCCTTTCCTGTTTTATCCTGTCCAGAGACATTGCCCAGGAAAGAATAGAAACATGCATTAGAACAAGAGGAATGTTCCTCTCCTCCCCCTTTCTTTCCCTTAACCAAAGACCAAAGCCTGCTCTGGAATTTCTGGAGAATTTTTCAATAGTAAGAACGTCAAGATGTGATCAGAGAATCTTAACCAGGACCCCACTTCCGGGAGGCGGGCCCAACTCAGAATCTTTTCCTAAACCTCTCTCTGGCTTTGCAGAGTCGCAGCCCTGCTCGGATGAAGAGGCCTGCTCGGAAGTGTTCCTCCCCACCGACAGCGACTATGACTCCAGCGACGCCCTGAGCCCCCGGGACCTGGACCTGGTCTACCTGTCCTCGCACGACATCGCCCAGCAGGCCCTCAGCGGCCTCAGTGGCAGTGCTCCCGACGTCCTACAAGTGCACGACGTGAAGAGTCCGACGGGGCCAGGCCGAGACGCCCTGGGCCGGGCACGAGGCCCAGAGCCGGACCACGCGTGCGCAGAGCTGCTCCACAGCCTGACACTCACGGGATTGGTGCCCAAGACCCATGCCAACATGGCGGCGGGCGCGCGCCCGCCGATGGGCTTCCTGGGAAAGCGGAAGCCGGGCAAGCACCAGCATTACGGCGGCTTCAGCCGCCACCACCGCTGGCTGCGCATGCACAGAGAGACACAATCTTTGTCGCTTTCTGAGGGTATCTACACGCCACACCTGACCCGGGCCTGCGGCCTGGACCGGGAGCCAGGGGAAGCCACGCATCCCGGTCCTGCCCTAGATGGGGCTCGGGGCCTAGTCCTGGCTCACGCCACCAGCCTCCCGGAGGAGCGGAAGGGTTGCCTGCAGGACCCTAGGCCTTCTGTCCGCCGCATCTATGTGGAGCCCTACGCCGGGGCCCTTGTGGGCCAGGATACAAAGCCGTGGGCCAGCTTGAGCCCCACGCCTGGAGGCCGCACCCGCCTGCCTAGCCCGTTGGCTCCCGAGATGAACCCGGAGGGCCCCACCTCACCGGTGTCAGAAATACTCAGCAGCATGCTTTAGGGAGCCGCAAGCTGGCTGTCCACTGCAGCATCCCCATCCTTGCATTTCCCTTCATCCTAGCCCCAGACTGCCCACTGCCTCCCCAACCCATTTTCAAATGCTTTGAACATTACAAATCAAAGGTTACAGGTGCAAGGCCCTCTTTGTGGAAAGTACAGTTGGAGTGGAGGCCAGAGTGGCCAAGGCCATTCCCATTTCAGCCTAGAAAAGGTATGGAGGAGGTTTTGTGTCAGCATAAAAAGTGCCGCCCAGTTCATAGTGACCATAGCTGGGGTAGACCAGGCCAAAGAGACACCCTCAGCTCTGCAGCTGGCTCTGTAATCTGACCGCTGTGCTTAGCCTCTTTCATGAATTTGGATTAAGAGACCGTTTGATAGATAGAAATAAGATTGGCTTTGGTTTTCCTTCGGATCCAAACCTTGGTAAGAGTTTGGGGGAAAGAGACCCAGGCTGTATCTTCAGGCCATGGGATCAAGAAGGCGTTGTTAGGTTCTCTGTCACCTAAACCAGTCATGCCAAAATCCAGGGTTGTCCAGATCCAATTTATCAAATCCAATTTATCATCAGCACTTCCCTAATTAAGTAGGCCTTGCATAAGGCCCTTTGTGCTGTGTGGTGATCACCAGAAACAAAAGTATAGGATATTGCTAGCTCTGTCTTACAAAGATAGAATAGGGCAAGAGAAAACCCAGCACACTCAGCTTCTATTTAAAGCTGAAAGCGAACAGCAGATTGTTCCAAGGTGCAAGGAGTGCATGAGTTAAGTGAAAGCCTAGTTTATAAGATAAGAGGGAGAGAAACATGAACAAAAGTGTATTTGCTTTACAATTTAAAACAGGCAAACTAAGTCTGTCAGTGAAAATCACATTGAATCTTCTCCAGATTATGAAGTGATGAAATCGTTGTGGAACAAGAACGTGCCCTCACATATGGTCATAGACTCCTCACAGCCCCACAAGCACATTTCTAGCTCCACATCACAGGTGAAGAGACAAATTGCCCAGAGCTACAGTGGCTACTTTCCTTTTTTGGCCACTACTCTGAGCATGAGTTTTGCCCCTAAGATCATCTAGGCAGGTGGCAACAAGGAAAATCTTTCCTTCAAAGTCCCCACCAGTGGGTTGTTCCAAAAACGTGCTCAAAAACACCTGGAAATTCCGTTTTGGTCACATCATCTACTACCTAAATTTCTCACTAATAAGAAAGACAAATCACACTGCCTTTTCCGGAAAGGCATGAGTCTTCTCAGCTCCTGAAGCCAAGACCCATTCAGTTCACTGACATTCTAAATGGTCCTTTTCTGCTTCACAGACATTTCAGTTATACATTGCTCTTGTGGCCCTGTCCCTCTCCTCAAAGTCCTACCATTTCTCCTCATGGGAGTTCATACAAAGTCCCAACGTTATTCTGATCACTTCCATTTTTAAAACATTTGATTTAAACATAAATAATTACCTTGCTGGAAAGGTACAGACTTGGCCCATGGTCTATGGTCATTAGAAAAATAATGCCCAGAGTTCAACTTTATTTTTTTAAGATATTTTATACTCAGTGAACCTCCCAAAGAATCTTAATCAGAATCACTACAGCACCTTTTTCATGCCTGGAAGGATTTTAAAATATAGTTTTCTTCTGTCAGCGAATTCTATGCATATAGGAGGAGTGAAGGTTAAAACTAGAAGGGATCATAAAATATCTTAAATACTTTACAGGGAGGGTACTTAGAACTCAGAGAGGTTAAGTGACTTGCTCAAGGTCACAGCTTGTTTAGTCTCAGTGAAGAACCCACAACCATTCCCTATATAGCTGGCTGTCCCATTGGGAATTGGTACACAGCTAGTCAAGTCTTATCTGCAGGTAATTTACTCTTTATGAAAACTATCTACTTCTTATTTTAGATTCAAGTCCTTTTCTCTCTTTTTTTTTTTTTTTTTTGTCTTTTTCGTTTTTTTTATCGGTACCAGGGATCGAACTCACGACTGCCTGCTTGCAAGGCAGGTGCTTATGCCACTGAGCTAAATCCCCAGCCCCAAGTCCTTTTCTCAAAGTCCTTTACCAAACAAATTTCCAGAATCAACAGAGCCCCTTACTACTGGGGAATACAAATGTTAGGTAATGGCCATCTGAGCCTGTTTGCCTTTTATAAAGCTGATTTGAAAGGGATTTCAAACTATGCCTCAGTTAATAACAGAGTTATCTGCGCTCAATTTCTACTTACTTTTAACTGGAAGACAGTTTTTATATGTTGAATGAGTTTGTGAGATGAAGTAATGGGACTGTCAAAAGCTAACAAGCCAAGCAAGGCTCTGGTTCTGATGGCTTTGCTGACTCAGGAGGCAGGTCTGGGACCGGGAATTAGATGGGAGGCATTCAATAAGCAGTTAAGGCGTAGACTTCCCACCCTTCTAATCCCTCATTTGGTCAGTAAATTCTCACTTTCTGGGCCCAAGTGGCATTAATTTGTAAACCTACTAATTTATAGAGAAGACACAAAGTTTATTTCCATTTTCCATGAGAAAAAGAGACATTCTCATGACACGAATAGTGCACAGTACATTTCAACAGGCATACTTCCACTTGAAAGTACATTTTGCTAGCAAGATTCCCATGAAAAGTCAATATGTTATATCCTCAATAATTAGCTATTTATTCAGGTAGTATCATGCTACAATTCCACAACACTTGTGAGACCAGTCTAAAATTAATATATTCTTGTGACAAAAACAGCGTGTTCCCTAGTTCAGATTTTTATTCATTCATACTAATGATAGACTTCACAAAGTCTAGGGATTTTTGTTTATATTATTAGTTCTATTTTTGTTTGTTTTGTTTTAGATACATTTGATTTGCTTTTTTATTCTTCTGAAATCCAGTCTGGAGGAAACTTTCCTGTCCCAGGTCTTCTTTTCTGGTTTTTTTCTAGTACACTTTATCTGCATTTCCCAGCTCTGATCCCTTGGGGAAATTTTAAAAATTATTGACTATCAGATCTATGTCTATTCTAATCACCACAGAGAAGCAAAGAATCAATTGTGAAATACGTTCTTGAGGCACAAGAAGCCCACAAATCTTATCTAAGAATGTGGCCATACACTGACCATGCATGTACCTTGTGACATATGTCTTAGAAGAGACAGGAGCCTGTCACCATGGCCTCACAGACACAACTCACGTCTGGCTAGATTTCTTTTATTTCACTCCTGTCTATTGATGAAGGCGGCCAGCCAGAAAATGTAAGTCGGAGATGCATACTCTGGGCAATCATTGGCAAGGCTCTCACACCCTCTTAATTGATGAGGGTACCTAGGGGACAGTCATTAAAAACGTTCACTCTGGGGAAGGATATTTTGAGAAGTGGGTACTTCAAGATGAGAACCATTCCGTTTTAAGAACATCCACTAATGCTCGAAGCAATAATTACACCAGAGAAAATGGTTCCATTTGGTTTGAAAATTGAAGCCACTTAGTAATAATATTCTGCCAGTCCCCTTTCCTGAAGGATCCCAAAGCACTTTATGAAAAGCAATGACTGAAGCCTTGTTGCACTCCCCTAAAGGAACCTTGTCTGGGAGCCACCTGGCAAACACCTACCCCATCCTTGCCAGGAGATCATGCCAGACAAGTAGAAAAGAGGACTGGCCTCTCATTCATTGTTATCGTGCCACACAGACATGTACCCTGCTGAGGGTTAAGCTCTTCCCTGGAAGATAACTCTGTTAGACAAGGAGACCTACCAGAAAACCCCAACTCTGTGGCCTTCCCTTGTTCTCCACAATCCACCCCAGCTGTATTCACTTTCTCTTGGAGAAATATCAAATCAAATTGTCCAGGGATCTGTGGTGCATTTTAGTTCCCTAGTTATGTTAACAGCATACAGAATTCACTGGCTTCGGAAAATGTATACATATTAGGAAAAGGATGCCAGTAGTCTGCAGCTTCTTAATTTTATAGGTAGCAGAGCTACGACAGAGAGTACATACCTTGATGTATTTCTTTATTAAACTCTAACATACCAATTAGAGAGGGTAGTTACAGATTAGCAAGAGACTACGCTTTGTGAATTGTGTTAACATTGTCATTTTATAAAGCATAAGTATTTTTCCAAATTATTTAATGAAGCAAACCTGGAATTTTTTAAGGTCATATTTTTCAAGAAAAAAATGTGGGAAGCTATTTGGAAAGCAATGGTATCTCTATATGGGTAGTAGGGTTAACAAGGAAAAAATTTGTTTCTTTGCTGGTCACTTCTTATAAGATGTTCAAACACATGGCTTATGACTGTTAAGCTAAACTTCAATGCAGCCTTACAACAACAAGGGTAGTGTATTTGAAAGTATGTTGTACAGCTTGGAAACTTATTCTAAGATCTTAATTCAGAGTTTTTCTGAGGTGTTGAACTTTGCCATTAGCAAAAAGTATTTTTAGAAAAAAATCCATTGACTGTTTATGAAGCACTGATTTTGCCATATTTCAGGTCTCTGGTTTTTCCACTGCGTCTGCACACAGTAGTTATATTTGGTTTTTTTTTTTTCAATCATTTCTTCTATTTTCATTAATAATTAATTTATAAGTGGTTATTCAAAAGAACAGTTGGTTTTGCTTAACAATGGGTAAATGGACTGCCTACATATTCTATTTTGATAAAGAAAGTAGGTTTGTTGTTGTTGCCGTTTTCTTACATATTATCTTTAGGGTCCTTTCTATACTGATACATTTTTTATTTCAGCAAAAGCCAACATGTGTATAACTTAGTGGCAAATGTTATGAAGTTATTAGTTTGCTTCTCTTCTTTCAGTCCATGATGTGAAAGTCTGAATATACATTCACAATAAGCACTACCCAATAACTGATTTTCAAAAACCAAGTCTGGCAAATTTTAAGTCAGCTTGAATTTCTGTGTTGCCTCTTGCCTTGTGATCAACCAGATGATTGGAGATATTTTATGTATGTCATCACAAGCATCAGTTTGATGTTTGTGATAGCAAAAGAATTTGTGTGGTGTGTGTGTGTGTGTGTGTGTGTGTGTGTGTGTGTGTGGTGGGGGAAAGAAGTTTCATAGGAAAAGTAATTTAAGTGACGTTCTATTAAACAGTGTTTAATTGCTTCCTGCATAATATGTACATAATAATCTGGCTGATTATTGTTTGTTATTTGTTCAGAATTTATTGTGTCTTGTTACTATGTATGCCTGAGTGTATGTTAAAGTTTAAACCTCAGTATACTATCTGCACAATTTTGTGTGCTTTACGCCTCTGTAAATATGAATCATGTATGGTGTGTTCAAGGTAACCTCCAATCTTGAGACAATAATATTTTGTAGTATACACATTTGGAAACTATTTGAACATTTTAAATGGATATTGTAAATGACAGGTACCTTCCATTGAAAACAGCACAGGTTACATGTATGCCTCTTTTACGTACCGATTTAGAAGAGGAGGTCAGGGGTTCATAAGAATTAAGATAATTTTATAATGGCAAGTATTTTTGATAATTTCCTACCTGCCTAATTGTATTTTCAAGAAAAATTTTCAGCAGAAGAAATCTTAAGTATCAGAGGGAATGACTTTGTTTCATAAGCATTGAATATACTTCATATCCCACCCAAAATTGTTAAAATCTAGGTCAAGGGTGAAGAAGTCAAAATATTTTTGATTCTTCATGACATTTTTTGTTGTTTAAATAAGTTTGTGAGCCCTTTGTCTTCAGTGTGAAGAAATGTCAATTAAATAGTAAACTTCGTTTTTGGTTTGGAGAAATAGCAATTAAATAATAAACTAACAGAATTCTCAGTACTTGGCTTCCCTAGTGCTTTTTCCAGGTCTCACTGAAGACAAAAATTGTTCATCCTGAGCTTTTAAAATCTTCTTACTAAAGCCTTGAAAGAATCATTATTTGGGACATTATTTTGACAACAGCAATGTCTGACCAGTTGGCTCTTGATAAACAGTAGCTTTGGTATTGTTTCTCTTTCCTAATCGATTGTAGCCAAGTATTGAACATATAGCAGCAGATTACTAAGATAAACACCTCACCAGGTTGTACCTTTACCAGGTGATATCCTTGGCTCTCTTAACCTTGCTTCTTCCTCCTCTCTGTGCACGTTTGAATGTCTAGAATGCATCCTGCATGCCTTGTCCTATCTTAATTTTTCTACCTTATTTTCACATCCACAAAGGTCCTTCTCTCTCTGGCTGAGATTTCAGATTTCTTCTGTGTTTGAGATACTACAGAGAGACTATTTCTATCCCAGGAACCTGTAAAAAGTGTCTCCTGAGTTCACAATGACAGAAAATGTGCTGCTTTGGACCACATATTTGTCTTATGTTGTCTTGCAGAATTCTTTTACACACACACACACAAGTTTGGCTCTCTATTGGCATGTTTGTGCTCAGCTTTTCTGATAGCCTCAGAGGGCTGTTTTGTTGTCTTGACCAAATATGCCGTTTTCCCTTTGTAAATTGTCATCTTCCTAAGCAAACCATGACTTTCTTTTCCTAATTCTGTCTTTAAATAAAAGTTTACCTTCTTTTTCAAACCAAACAAATGCCATTGCTCTTTTATATCCCCTTTCCTCTGGGAACACTCTTGGGGAGGTATTCAGGAAGGGACAGAATGAGATAAAGGGTAAGAGAAGACCTTTTGTATTTAACCTCATAAGTGAGAAGTAAGCTTCCTTTAAACACTTAGTCCTTTCTATAAGGCATGCTGAGAAATACAGTGTTTCTACCTACCAACAAGAAATAATTGCTTCTTCTCTAGACTTTCTTATCTCTTTAGAGTATCTACTAGGTCAGATAAAAAAAAACTCATAAGGAAATTTTCTTGCCTAGAATTATCATAATGTCAAGGAAGCTAGATCTTTGCAATAATGTTTTTACTATGAAAGTGCATTTCCTCTTCAGACAATGTATGGAATTTTCTCCTGTCCTGTCAATGATGACATTCTTTAACCTAAGAAAATATTGGTTTTAGATATTGACTAGAGGAGCTTAAGCACCAGATAGATCCTAGACTAAATCAGAGACACTAAGTCAAGAGCAACTGCATATCTTGTTAGTCATCATCTCCCCATCACAGGTCCTAGGAGAAATACCTGTTAAATGAGTGATAAATTGATAACTAACACGAATTATAGACAAGTCATGATCAAGTTAATTGCTCCATAGAGAAAGGATGTGATGGTCTTTCCAAATGTCTACCAACTTGAGGTTCTCTAAAGTGACTCAGGTAAAACTCAGCTCAGTTTGTCTGGTCAGTCAGCCTTGATGGCAACGTTCCAGATCAGTCTGAAAAGTGCCACCACCCACTTCCCATACCATCTCCAGAGTACTGTGTTGGGCTTGGTCCCCAGGAGGAAGCAAAAGGCTTGGGGAGAAGTTGATCCCTTCCTACAGTGAAGGATGCACCCTGAACAGCCAATAGCTGTCTGAATATCACTTCCTGCCCAGCCATTGGGTGCAAAAATTGATGAACAGATCACTCATCTCAGCTATAGCCTCTGAGTACCAGAAAACCTTCAAGAGTCTTTAACCAATGACCAATAAGGTTGCTTTGACATTTGCCATTTTCTTTATCAATCTTTTTGTAGCCTTAATTTCCTATATGTTTATAAAACACTCTCAAAAGCACCATCTATGTGACCTTGATGAATAGCTCTAGGAGGTGATAGAGATTGAAACTTTTACCTCCATTTTATGTATAAGAGGAGTGAAGCTCAATAAAGTGAAAACCTGAATCAAGCACTGCTGACATCCTAGATTATGTTGAGACATTGAATTTGGTTCTTTGAGAAAGGAAAAAAATTGACTCTCCAGAAGCTCTCTCTGGAGCAGAAATTCTACACAAGCAGACATAGATTCAAGGGGGGAGAGAGAGAGAGAGAGAGAGAGAGAGAGAGAGAGAGAGAGAGAGAGAGAAATATGACCGTAGATGAAGGCAAACAGGACCTCTCAACACATGCTCCCTTTTCTACAAGACCCAGGGATGTAGCTCAGTTTCAGGTTCTCTGTGGGTGCAAACAAGATGTTTTTCCTCTCTGAACTTACATATGACAATATCTATGAACTGAGTAAGCTCTTTTCAGCTCTGAAATTGCATGAATTTAAAATACATCGAGTGCCTATCAGGAATAAGTGGGAATTCGCAGGACTTGTCTACTTTGGTGTTCTGTTTTATGTTGTTGTTGTTCTGGGTGGAGAGCACAGGGGTGCTCTTAGAAGGTCAGCAGAGGGGACGTGAGTGAGTTTATTATGGAGAACTAAAGCAGCAATAAGGAACTTGTGCTCATCATCTCTTTCCAACAATTTCCGTTTCTTCCAAAGAAGTTCTTCATTGTGGAAAGATTCAAGTCAGTCCCCTGCCTCACCTGATCTCAATCTCTTATAAGAAAGTTCTACCTGTTTCAGCTCCCCAGTTGTTCACTGTCCTGGCTACCATAGAATCACAGGGGATATACTCCAGAATGTGCCTTGGATCTCCCTCAGCATCTAACTTGGCACTGCCACCACCTGCCAGCTGTTCTTTTAGGTCTTGCCGAATCACTGCCATCAGATCCCTTCCCTGGAGTGTCCTGGAAAGGGTCAAAGCATTGCACAACTACAGGGGGCACTATTATTAAGTGCGGAATGTGCTCCATTAGCCATTTCCCAGAACCCAAGCATGAAGCAAGCAGGTTCCTTTGCCAGGAAGCAAGGCTGCAGTGGGCACCACCTTTGGGTGGAAGGGAAGACTGTCATGAAACATAGTACAAGGTGCCTTTTTATGTACAAAATTTGTCATTCCACAGTGGGACCTGCTTTGAGGTATGATGTTGTACACACATCTAACTCTTCCAAGTTCTGGCTAACTTGAGCATCAGCTTGGACCTTGCATGGGCCATTTTGGCTTGGCTGGAACCAAATGCCAGGCATTGTTCTCCTTTGCCCTCAGCAGACTCTGTGAAGTCAGGACAGCATCATTCTTTGACAAAACATTCAGTATATTTCCTCGGGTCCCAGGAGGCCTGATACTGAAACGCTTTCCTCCCCATAGTTATATTTTCCTTGGTTGAAAAAGTTTTGTTTTGGAAGTTGCTACCCTGTAGAGGTAATGAGTCAGTTTGGGAGATCGGTACAGAGAGGAAAATGCACATCATTGGCAGAGGCTGGAGGATGGGGGTGAGAAAAGATGGGAGATTCCGGGTAGGAGAGAAAGGCCACACCCTCTGCACCCTTCTGCCCTTTCAGGAAGAACATGGCCCCTCCTGACTAACTGGAGGCCAGGCTCAACTGCTGTCTTAGCAAGTGTTCCAGGGAGAGGGTAGTAGGCAGGGCGGGACCTGACATTCATGGGTCACCTCTTGAGTGCCATTTAATCTTCTTCTTTCCACTTTCTGCAAAAGTGAAGAGCATTATCATCCATATTCTACAGAGTAGTGTGGTTTAAGAAAAGAAATTGCATGGCCAACATCACCTAGACAGCAAGTGGCAAAGCTAAGAGTGGAATTCAAGGTTGGAGTCCATTGCTCATTCTTTCATGTGTTCTACAAGATTCATTCACACAGAGAGAAACAGAACCAACAGGCTTAACGGAAGAATAAGACCCAGTTAGAAAGACAACTGAAATGGTCTGACTTGGGCAGGGGAAATATAGTTGGCACAGGGAAAATAAAATGTTTATGGATTTCAACCAACCTTTTCTTTCCCCCTTTATTCTCTATTTCCCTCACTTTTTCTACCCCATGTATTTTCTTCACATGGAGAGAAAAGTTACAGAGATACAAAAAAAAAAAAAATCATAAAGACACAAACACATATAGATTCTCTTACATACACAACACAAACACACATGTCCACACAAGCACAGAGGCACACACATCTGGAGGTAAATCTCGGGATTCAAGGGTTGGCCACATGCCAGCTCTGAGCCCCAAGTAGCCCACTGAGGAGCCCTGGTCTGCAACACTTTGGGAGGTCAAATCCATGAAAGAGCCCTGGTAGTTTAAAAAAGAGAAAGGGAGAGAGAAAGAACACCAGCACCTCTCATGATGGGAGGTCAGCGCAAATGAAACCAGGAGGAGGGGGTGGGGTGGGGTGAGGGCATGGGGGTGGGGAGCCTGGTGCTGGCAGCTGAATTCCTACCCTGGCCCAGCTCCAAAAGATTAAAATAGAGCTCTTAGAGTGTCCCCTCCACAGACCAGCCTGCCAGGGGCCAGACAATACGTGGGTTTGTGCTCCAGTACAGGCCTCCAGAGAGGTGATGTTTTTACCCGGACAGCTAAAGGCACAGAGGCAGGTTTAAGCAATTCCAAGGCTCCTTTGGCCCACAGTCCCAGACCAGGCCACAGCGGAGAGAGAGCTGCCTGCTGCTAGGACGCATACAGATCTGCTCTTTTCTCTTTTCACCCCAGGGCAGACTGCTAGACTCATATTTCTTCATTTTATCTACCCCCAAACACCCAACTGGCAGGGTTGTGTGGGACCTGGTCTTAGCAGATTCGTTATACTTTAATTGGAAAAAATTAAAAAGTTCAGCATGCCTGTAAACAGGCAGCTGTAGTGATGAGGCACAGACAGGGCGTCCCTCAGGAGCATCTCAAATCCTCAGATGAGACAAACAACCCATTTTCTCCACCCAAGGCACAAGGTTTCCCCAGGAGGAAACCCTGCTGGCCCCATGAGGTTACATCTGTTTCCCTGGAATTTTTGAGGATTTTAGGCAGCCAGGACTGAAGTCCAACCTCTAAGGCCACTTGTTAACACAGAAGAATGAAGACAAGAATACATTAACTCAGACAGGCTCTGGAGTTTGCCAG